CCACTCGGCGAGGCGAAGTCCGCGGGTTCCTGCCGACATCCCGACGGCGCACTCCCGGGAAACGGGAATAGTTATCCGGCGGCAGGAAACACTGTGTCTCCCCCTTGGGATACGGACCTTCCTTTCCCTTTTTTGAAAATCTAGAGACGTGCGCCAGTCCCCCCTACATCCCCCGCGCACTTGCTTTTCCGACGCTTAACGGGGTCTTAGGAGCCACTTGTATTATGTTAGTTTAATGTTATTTTGGCTGTTCATTGCCAAAAGCAACGTAAGGCCGGGTCCCTGAGGGTATCAGCATCCTTGGGGTTGGGGTTCCTGCCTTTGGAGCGTTCCTTAAGTTATAACTTACAAAAGATGTGACTTGTGCTATATTGGCTGCTGTAAGAAACAGTTGGATCAGCAAAAGGTTGGAGAATTTTGCCCAGGTAACTGTTAGTGTTTGTTTTTGTTATTTAGTCCTCACGCGAAGACATCTTTCCATTGTTTTTAGAGAGCGTGGAAGAGGAAGGGAAAGATGGGAGAAGTACGTGTCGATCTGGGAGAAACACATCGACTGGTTGCCTCCTGTCCGGGCCCTGAGCAGGGCCCAGGCCGGGGAGGGACCTGCAGCCGCGGTACCTTCCTTGGTCAGAATCGAACCGGCACCCTTTGGTCCGCAGGCCGAGGCTCTGTCACCAAGCCAAACCGCGGTAACTGTTACTGAGGTTTAGCACACTTTTACCCAGGACACGCAGTGATGACATTATCTTTTTTTGTGAGGTTTAAATATCCCTTTTGTAGTGTCTAGCGTCTAGTAGCCTGTTTTCTGTTGTGTGAGGTTTAGATAAAAGGCGGGCCGCAGGGGCTCTGGTGGAGTTGAGAATTTTTAAAACTCAGTCGTGGCAATACTGTATTTTACAAGGGCTTTGCTGCTCAAATCCTATATACTAAAAGGCTAATATGCAAATTGTCCCCTTGACCAGTGGGCTGGCCGGTCAGCCTACTGGGTCACCTCCCCAGGGTTGGCCCAGCCCCATTGGCCCCATCGGGGTGGGCCAGCTGGACCCGCCTGGGCACGAATTCGTGCACCGGGCCTCTAGCCTCGTAATAATTCTATGAAGAATATCTCCATTCCCCAGATGACAGAACCTTAAGCTAGGTGACCTGCCCAAGGCCACAGAGTCAGGAGAACGGGAACACAAACTCAGATCTTCATGATGGAACTTTTTGTGCTAAATAGGAGTTACCTGAGAACCTTAATCTTTGTACACCCTGAGCCTCATTATTTGTTTTCTTGAGAACTTTTGTGTTGAGGTTATTTAAGTAAGTTTTGGAGAGTGAGTTAATGGAAATTATTTCACAAGGGTGGATATTAATTAAATACTTTAAGAAATGAGAATTTGCCATTTGGGAAATAACTTGATATTATTTTTCTTCACAGCATAAAAGATGACAACAGCAGCTCGGCCAACTTTTGAACCTGCGAGAGGCGGGAGAGGAAAAGGAGAAGGTGATTTGAGCCAACTCTCAAAGCAGTATTCAAGTAGAGACCTACCCTCTCATACAAAGATAAAATACAGGTAATGAAGACTTTCATTTTCTTGTTCACAAAGCAAGTGGCATGGTCATGAGATAGTAATATGTTTGGGTTATATCACTTAAGTCATCTATTTTTATATAAGTAGAATGTAGTAGGATATCTAACACTAAAATTATATGCTAGGATTGTAAAAAGCTACCAGATATTTGTTAAGCAGAAATTCCTGTTAACCAAGAATATCCATAGGTAGATGGAAAAGTAATACATTTCTTCCGAGAGACAATGCACTCTCAGTACTAATCAGTATGAAAATAAAAGCGTTATTGTAATGTTTCCTGAGTTGACCTACTAACAAAAAATAAAGACATTTTAATGGATCTCCAGCCTTATTATGGGAATATATGTGATTCATTTTGGGATTCTTGAAATATTACAAATATCATGTGGGTACCTATAAGTTACCCTCAGATTAGGGTAATATCTCTTCCAATTCCTTCTTTTGTGCTGGAGGGACATGAGGACAAAGTTGCTTTTTGTGAATTATCTTCCATTGCTACAGCCATAGGTTTTTTAGAAACATTTTTGCCCTGGTTTGTTTCTACTTTAGACAGACCACTCAGGATGCCCCTGAAGAGGTTCGGAACCGTGACTTCAGAAGAGAATTAGAAGAGAGAGAGAGAGTTGCTGCGAGAGAAAAGAATAGAGATCGTCCAACTCGAGGTACCAACACATATGTCTCATAAGATTGTTGACAGTACCCTAACCAGTTTGGCTCAGTGGATAGAGCGTCGGCCTATGGACTGAAGGGTCCCGGATTCGATTCCGGTCAAGGGCATGGACCTTGGTTCTGGGCACATCCCCAGTAGGGGTTGTGCAGGTGGCAGCTGATCGATGATTCTCTCTCATTGATGTTTCTAACTCTCTATCCTTCTCTCATCCTCTCTGTAAAAAAAAAAAAAAAAAAAAGATTGTTGACAGTACTTTTTCTTTCACTTGGTAATTGGAATAGGCTACTATTTGTGTTTGCTTTTAAATATTGGTGTGAGTTGCAACACTACTAAATGATATCAGATTTGGTTAGATTAGTTAGATTAAAGGCGATAATAAAGTTGAGGCACGTTCCATCTTCTTATGGTTCTATAGAAGGAATAAGATGACCTGGGGATATTTAGCAGCCATTGTTTCAGTTTAGATCAAAATGTTTATAAGAGCCAGACTTTTTGAGGCCCCATGGTTTCTGCCTATGAAGTTCTCCCATTTTTGTTGGAAGGCATCTAGGGACATATATTTCCAGCTTATGTAAACTATTCCCTAAATTTCCTGAGAGAGGCTACAGTTCCCATATTAAAATCAATACTTTCATTAATTTATTCAACAAATGTTTATTACCAAGGGCTTATTTGGCAGGCACTGTGGTTTTGATCCCTGTGTCATGATAGACATAATCTAAGTTCTTTGTACCCACAGGTCCCTAAATGTTACAAGCAATGCAGTCTTTGTTTCAGTGATCTAAGCATTGTCTGTCTTTCCCAGAACATACAACCTCCTCTTCAGTGTCAAAGAAGCCTTGGCTAGACCAGATTCCTGCTGCCAACCTCGATGCAGATGATCCTCTAACAGATGTATGTTTTGTTTCCTCCTTTCATCTCCATAGTAACTTATGTCATGTTTTCTGAAATTTTTTTATTCATGTGGTTTTAACCAGTGCCCTGTACTTATTTTTACTTACCTATTATTCAAATGCTAAACTTTATAGTTGATTTTAAAACAAAAAATGTTGCTAGTTAATCAAACTTTATCTCTGGAGAATCAAATAAGGAAGTGATTTATTAAAGAATATGCTTCCCTAAAAAATAATTTCTCATATTTACCCATGGAGTTTGGGCTGCCATGTTATCCATCTCCAGAGGGCACTCTTCAGACTGGGCACTCTATCGATAGCAGCCCCTAAAGTTGAACTTTAGAAACCACTGATGCCCCTCCAGAGTGCAGTACACTTACTGGCTCCCTCTACGCTGAGGGAGGGAAGTGAGCTAAGTGGGAGATTTTAAGGGTTAGTGCTTTAGTGACATGAAAATTTAATGGAACCCACAGTCTACAATTAATTTGCAGTTTTCTACTTACAGTGAAATCTGAGTGATCTTTCATGAGTAGCATCTGATTAAGCACATAAATCAGCAATTCTAGAGTGGACAGATTGAATTAAATAATTCAGTTAATTAAATATAGGGAACTAGATGAGACTTAATGATTATCCATTTGAAATTGGTTTCTTCTGAGAAGTTAGCACCCTTTTAGTACTTTTGATTATCCTAATAGGTCTAAGTTTTAGGCTGGATAAAACTATTTTGATTCTTAGGGTGATACACTACGTATATCTGTGCTGTGTATATCAGTGTAAAGTGTTCCTTTTCTAGTTTTAGAAATATTTTTATGTCTAAATTCCCTTTGACCATGTAAATTTGAAAGGTACTTTGTTATACTATTTGTTGTTACAATCTCTAAAACATAACAGGGGTTGACATTTTAGTGAATTTTCATAAGCTTTTTTGTGGTCTTTTGTTTTTTGTTTAGTTGTTGATTTTAATAATATCTAGGTGCATCTATCTCTCCCACTGGGAAAATTAATCCTGCTTCAAAGACCTGGCAATTCTTATGGGGGAAAAATTAATAATGTGAATTTTCTCTTCAATGGGCCATCACATTCTTTTTTAGGAGGAAGATGAAGATGAAGATTTTGAAGAGGAGAGTGATGATGATGATACTGCAGCTCTTCTTGCAGAACTAGAAAAAATTAAAAAAGAAAGAGCTGAAGAGCAAGCCAGGAAGGTAAAATGAAAGTGTTAAATATTTACATTTTCTTTCATAAACTAAAGTAGAAATATTTTTAATTTCAAGTAAAATCTTATATTGGAAATTGTCCCTGGTATGTCTAGATATATCACCTGTAAATCTATAAATCTGATAAATTTTTATGGCATTTTAAGTTACTTGGTAATGTGGGAAATTCTTTTCAAATAGTTCAGACATGCTTAATAATATAATACTCATCTTGCTCTTTATACACTTATTTGTTTGTTTTCTCAACAGACATTTAGTTAATGTCTATTAAGTGTCAGAAGAATCAAAAATGATTTAGTCAGGGCCTACAAAGAACTCACGAATATAATGAGGTCATCGTCTTGTCTTCCCTGTCTCCTGCTTCAGCCTTCTTTCCAGGCACTTGTTGTAGCAGTCTGTCAATAGATTTTACATAATCTAGGGCAATTGACCTAACTTCTCTGAGTCTCCACAGTCTCTCAAGTCACACAATGGGAGAAAAGAATATCTAACTCAAAGACAGTTGTAAGGATTAAATACGACCCATAGTAATAAAAATAAGAGATGAAATTGGAGGCAGGAACAGGCCAAAAGCATTAGAGAGCCCGACCAGCGTGGCTCAGTGGTTGAACTTTGATCTATGAACCAGGAGGTCATGGTTAGATTCCCGGTCAGGGCACATGCCTGGCTTGTGGTCTTGATTCCCTGTAGGGTGCATGCAGGAGACAGCTGATCAATAATTTTCTCTCATCGATGTTTCTATCTCTCCCTCTCCCTCTCCCCCTCTATGAAATCAATTTTTAAAAAAAGCATTGTAAACCAATGCTAAAGGAATTTGGACTCTGTTTTGAAGAATAGGAGCAGCTGGTCAGTTTCAACTGGAGATTGGTGAGATTATGCATTTTTAGAACGATCACTCTGACAGAAGTATGGAAGAAGCTATTCCAATAATCCTCAAATGCATTTATGATAATCATGCTTAATAGGAGTTGGAATTGAAAGAAGTAAACAGATGCTGATAGGAGCTATCAAGGAGGTAGAATTGACTAAATAAATTGACTGATCAGATGTGGCAATAAAGATGATCCCATTTCTGGGTAGATGTTGGTGCCATACACGAACAGGGAATACAGAAGGATGGGCAGAGAGAAAAGAGGTGATACAGAAGGGAGGTGGAGAGAAAAGAGATGATGAGTTCTGTTCGGAACATGTTTTTGATACTTGATACATTATGAGATGACCAAGTAGAGATAGCTATTTCCCCTTTCAACCAGAACAGAGCAGCTCTTTTATGGCGTATGGCATCTGTGTAAGATTACATGTGAGCCAAAGATTGTTCTGTTTAAAAAAAGAGGAAGAAGACTTAGAGAAAAGACTGGCATAGGTTAATGCTTGGAATCTAGGGAGGTTGTAGAGTTCATGTGTTAGCAGAAGGGCCATCAGAAAAGAGATCAAATGTGGGATAGGCTTTGAAGACTGCTAGAATTCAGATTGGAAGAAGAAAAATATTTTACTGTTCAGTTATCAGATTTTGGCATAGGATAGCGTAACTTCTATAATAGCTTATAATTTTTACATATAATTATAGTCATCAAAGAATTTAAGAACATTTCTAAAATCACTTGTACACCACTAGAGGGCAATTGTTCTGAATACATAGACAGATGAGCAATTCAAATGCAATGGTTAACCTTTAAGGAGGATAAACATTTTAGAACAGTGGTCGGCAAACTCAGTCAACAGAGCCAAATATCAACAGTACAACAACGATTGAAATTTCTTTTGAGAGCCAAATTTTTTCAACCTAAATATATAGGTAGGTACTGTGTTATTAACTTAATTAGGGTACTCCTAAGCTGGCCTTTGCTAAAAACGTCCTCAATCTGATTGAGGTACATTCGCTGAGGTCGACCCCTTCCAACCCCCACCCTCCGCACTCGTCTTGTATACTTGTTTCATCTATCTCCTTTCGTTCATCCTCTCTATATGTCCAAACCATCTCAACATACCTTTCTCAATCCTCGACACTACATCTTCTTTCACTCCACAACGTTCCCTAAAATTAACTTAATAAACTTTACTTAAAAGTTTTAAGTCAACTTCGCACTGTACATGCGTGCCCGCACGTGGTATTTTGTGGAAGAGCCACATTCAAGGGGCCAAAGAGCCGCGGTTTGCCGACCACTGTTGTAATTTTGTGAGGTTTATCTGATCTCTGTACAAAAATGTGTTGGTGTTTCTTGGAGTTGCCTGAGTTTTAGTTCCCTGTTGCCCTGGCTTTCTAGTGGTTGCTTTGTGTGTGTCCTAAAAGAACATTTCAAACCAGTCTGCCTATATCAGGGGTTGGGAAACTTTCTATAAAGGGCCAGGTTATAACTACTTTAGGCTTGTGGGCTACAAAGCCCCTGTCACAACTATCAGCTCTGCCTGTTGTAGCACAAGCAACCCTAGACAGGACCTAAATGAATCAATGTGACTATGTTCAAATAAAACTTTATTTACACAACAGGGTGGTTTGGATTTGACCCCCATAATGTGCCTGGTACTTGAATATGGAAGGAGTTGGCATCTTTTCCAGGGCTGTGTGTAGCAATCAACCAGTAACTCTAAAGGACATATATTCCAAACATAGAATGGCCAGGACCTTATTACATCACGCACACATTGTTATAAGTTTGGATATATTGTATACTTGAGCTCCTATTTTTCTAGCATCTCAGAGTAATGGCTTAAATTTCAGCATTAATATAATTTGTTAAAAAATAAATACATAATTTATAGAAAGCTGTCTGTTCTTTTTTTTTTTTTTTTTTTTTATTGATTTTTTCACAGAGAGGAAGGGAGAGGGATAGAGTTAGAAACATCGATGAGAGAGAAACATTGATCAGCTGCCTCCTGCACACCCCCCACTGGGGACGTGCCCGCAACCAAGGCACATGCCCCTGACCGGAATCGAACCTGGGACTCTTCAGTCCCCAGGCCGACGCTCTATCCACTGAGCCAAACTGGCTAGGGCTGTTCTTAATATATGATGGATGTTCCTGACTTCGTTAAAGATCTGAACAATGGCCTAAATTATTTTTCCCCCTGAAAATTGAATTTTATCACTTTCCAGTTATTTGGCCTCATAAGAAAATGAAATCCAGTGCTCACAGTTGGATGTTGGGGGGACTGGATGGACAGGGGCGTAGAGGGATTGAGCAAAAAAGAGAAAAAGATCATGGACACAGACAAGTGTGTTGTGGAGGGGGAGGGTATAGGAGAGATAAATGGTGATGGACAGAGACTTGACTTGGGGTGGTGAACACACAATACAGTGTACAGGTGATGTGTTGTAGAATTGTGCATTTGAAACCTGTATAATTCTATTAACCCATATCACCCCAATAAATTTAATTTTTTTAAAAATGAAGTATCATTAACCTGTACTGAAAATCAGGTTATTTTCCAGGTGGTTCAACATAAGTTTATTTTATTTATTATTATTATTTTGCTGCTGTTAATTCTCACCTGAGAAAACTTTTTTCCATTCTTTTTGTGGAAAGTAGGGGGAAGGAGGGAGAGAGAGAGAAGCAGAGATGGGAGAGAAACACATTGATTGGTTGCCTCCCACAGGTGCCCCAACCAGGGCCAGGGATTGAGTCTGCAACCCAGTACATGCCCTTGACCAGGAATCGAACCTTGGACCACAAGCCAGCGACATTCTAACCACTGAGCAACGGGCTAGGGCAACATAGGTTTATTTTAAATGGACTAACAGAAAGTCTTTTTTTCCATGCCCTATTAAGTTATTAATTTATCATCCCAAGACACAGCAAAGTGGGATTTATCTTTGGGTTAAGATATAAGATAGCATGGAATCAGATAGGTCTAGAAGTTATGATTATGTATTATTAGACATTTTATCTTCCTAATTCTAAGAGTGAAACTGAGGGGGATTTGAATTTAAAGAAGTTCATGCTAAAATAAAAGTGAAGAAAGATAAGCTTGTAACTGGTAAGGTATGAGAGGTATAGAAACAGAAAGTACCAACTCATAAGGACAAAATGAATAAGCCTCAGGTAAATTGCTAGAAATGCATGTTAACATTATAATTTTGAGAGTTTCTTATTTTAGGAGATACTTTTTGGTTAATAAAACTTGTCAATAATTTTAGAGATGCATGTTTACATTGTTAGTAATTCAAAATAAAATTTTTATATTCAGTTATGTATAGCCTTTTAAAAATTGAGGTAATAGTTTTGCTAAATGTCTTTTATGTTTGTGTGTGTGTGTGTGTGTGCGCACATATATTTTAAAATATATTTTTAATTTCAGAGAGGAAGGGAGAGGGGGAGAGAGAGAGATAGAAACATCAATGATGAGAAAGAATCATTGATTGGCTGCCTCCTGCAAGCCCCCTAACTGGGAATGGAGCCCAAAACCTGGGCATGAGCCCTGTTCGGGAATCAAACCGTGACCTCTTGGTTCATAGGTCGACACTCAATCACTGAGCCACACTAGCCAGGCTAGTATACTCAAATTATTAGAATGTTTATTGGTCTACTCACTTAAAATAAGCAAATTAGTGATTACTTCAAAAAAGAAAGATTTAAGTATGCATCTGAAGAGTTTTAGAGTCAGAAGACAGTAATGAATGATGGCATGCATGAAACATTTATAATAAAAATGTCAAATTATTTTATTTTGGAAAGGGAGACTTTCTGGTATGTCTTGAAAACAAACAAAAAACAACACTACCTTAATTCTTATCCCTAGCAGTCTTAATATATGAGTTGTATACAAGATTGACGCTGGCCCTGGCTGGTTTGGCTCAGTGGATAGAGTGTCGGCCTGTAGACTGTAGGGTCCCAGGTTCGATTCCAGTCAAGGGCACATGCCCAGGTTGTGGGCTCGATCCCCAGTGGGGGGCATGCAGGAGGTAGCCAATCAATGATTCTCTCTCATCATTGATGTTTCTCTCTTTCTCCTCCCTTCCTCTCTGAAATCAATAAAAATATATTTAAAAAAAAAAAAAGATTGACCCTGAAGTTACTATAAGTAAATACAAATCTAACCCTGTCATTGACAGGAACAAGAACAAAAAGCTGAAGAAGAAAGGATTCGTATGGAAAACATTCTGAGTGGAAACCCTCTCCTTAATCTCACCGGCCCATCCCAGCCTCAGGCCAACTTCAAAGTTAAAAGAAGGTACTATATACAGTAATCAGTTGAAAATACATACACACGTGAGTTTTATAGCAAACTGTGTAAAGCTTTTAAAATTCCACTTTTCACTGGTAATCATCTGTGTCCGATTTTGGAATAATGGAAGAAGGAGAATGAGAGGAAATAATATATTTTCCATAGATATTTACAGTAACCAGCTGTGTACCAGCTACTGTTGTAAGCATTAGAGACGGAGCAGTGCACTGAGCCTTTGACCCTATGAAGTTCACGTTTTAGCTATGTGAGTCAAGGATCCCAAGTCCACCCTTCACATTCAGAGACTCACTAGGAGGATTAGGGACTCAGCATATAGTTGTACTCATGACAAACAAAGTTACACAGCCAGATCATAAGGGGAAAAGGCATCAAAGGAATCCAGGTGCACGCTTCCTTACGCTCTGTATCTTCCATGAGGGGCCACACAAAGCACATCTTTTCCCCTGGCAACGAAAATGTAACATCTGTGCAATGGTTCTGCCCAGGGAAGCCCTTTAGAGACTCCATGCCCAAGGGTTTTATGTCATAGAGGTAACCACTGCCTAGCATATACCAAAATTCAGACTCCCTGAAGGGAAACAGGTGTTCCACATAAACCACAGTATTTGTACAAAGAGTCTAGGCACAGTGATAGTGAGAAGATTCTTGGAGTCCCAAGTTTCCAAATGCTAGCTTAGGGCCAACCTTGCAAGCGGCGCCTTTCTAAGGATAGCAGTTTTAAGCCTACCATATTTACTCTTCTGTATAGTGGGCATGTTTGGAGGGGTGAAGTAAAAGGCTGAAGAGGGAGAGACTATAAACAAAGCTCAGTTGGTTTGAGTGTCATCCCGATAAGCCAAGGCTGTGGGTCGATCCTTGATCAGGGCGTATACAAGAAGCAACCAATGAGTGCATAATTAAAGTGGAACAACAAACCGATGATTTATATTTTCTCTGTCCCTCCCTCTCGCCCCCTTCTCCCTTCCATCTCTCTAAAATCAATTAAAAAATTCTTTTAAATAAAGTTATCTGCTACATAGGAAAACCACTATTAAGCATATAACCACTACCACCCTTAAGAAGCAAACAATAATAATAACTGAATATAGTACTTGAGGTAGTGATACATAGGCAAATAAAACAGAACAGCTTATAGGAAGTGCCGAGTGGGAGGAAGCTTGGTTGTTATTTTGTATAAGGTGATCAAAGAACCCCGTAGGCTTAGCTTTCACACATATCTATGATTTCTCACCGGCTCCACTGCTACTATCTCCAAGCAGGCCCTCACTGGTCTGCTTACGCGCTCACACTCTCCTTCCCCACCCCCAGTTTTTTCCTAACACAGCAGTGCTGTGGTCCTTTTAAAGTGAAAGATCACAGTCTCCTGTTTTAGGCTACCCCGTGGCTTCCCAACTCATTTATAGGAAAAACTCGACTCCTTACAATGGCAACAGCGTGGTTAAGGACAGTAATTGCCTGGCAGCTGACATTAGCAGAAGCCAGACTCTAAGGTATTTGACCTGAACATTAAAGGATAGAGATGGGGAAGAATGTAAACAGAAGTGGTTGGGGGAGGTGACAGATACAAGATGTCAAGTTCAGAATGTTATATAAATCTACGTGGAGAGGTTGAGTTAGGTAGCTTGATGAGTGGTTCTGGAGTGAATCCAGGCTAGAGACAATAAATTTGGGAGCTGTCATCTTACAGAAGTTTTCTAAAGCCACAAAGACTAGATGAGGTCACCTAGAGAATGAGTACAGCTAGAGGGAGAAGTCAGAGGACCAAGCCCTGGATAACGTTTAGAGAGTAGATAGGTGGTTAACTCTCAATATCTGGAACATACTGGGTGCCCAGTACATACTGCCCAGTATTTACATGCCCAGTAAATATTGATTAAAGGAAAAAAGGAAAAGAAAAAAAACCAGGCTAAGAAGGAGTGAGGAAGGAGGTGAAGCAAAAGATTGGTGGGTGTCTTGGAAGCCAAGCAAACAAGGCTTGCTTTCGAAAAAAGGAGAGTGATAGGTCAAGTAATGATGACAGGGCAAGTGAAATGAGTGCTGGAAAGTGGCCCTTGGACTTAGCAACATGGAAGAGCAGGTTGATGTTGAGAAGGAGGCTAAAAGCCTGTTGGGAGTGAGTTGAGAAGGTGGATAGAGGAGAAACTGCATCGAGTATATTGATGTTCAACTCTACTTTGTCCTCCTGCCTTGTTTGGATGCAGTTAGAATTGTGTGGCGACTGGAACAGTCTTAATATGCAGGTCACAATTGACCCAGCTCTGCTCAGCTTTTCACTCACCTGTGTCCTGCACCACGATGAGCTTATTGACACTTTCCACAGATGCCATGCTCTTGGCTTATTGTCTGTGTGCAGTGTCTTCTGGCATGCAACTTGGTGCACACGAACACATCACATGGCTTCCATTTTATATGTATTTGTGAGAGTATATATTACAGAGTGGATTTTTGTTTTATAGGCTAGATGGTATTTTGAAATTACATTCTTGGTTTTCTATAAAACGTTATTTTGTAGCCCATCCATGGGTGTTCTTTTATGCTTGTGCATTATGAAACCCAACCAGAAGAATCCAACCACAGTCCTGCCCTAAGCTCTTCAGCTTCTGTTTCTTCGTGGTTTATGCAGATGTGTGCCAATATATGAGCGTTATTGTTATATGCCAGTACTTCTCCTTTTGTTGTCCTAAAATGCAGATATGACAGTGGATGATTACTAAATGCTAACTGATGAAAGAGTACATAAAATGCTTAAAACCGCATAATCTGAACTACAGTAAATTGGTCAGTTATCATCTAGAGTTGTCTGTATTAATCAGGGTGGTACCAGGTACTGCCTCTTTGTTTTAGAACTGAAAACATTTGATATTTATGCAGTTAAAGTTTATATATTTCTGCTTTCTGAGTTAGTCAAAGCATCTTGTACTGGATACGTGACAAAAATGTTTTATATGTTCTAATAGGAATTGCCCTTTCTGCTGTGATAGAGCTAGATCACAGCCTATTCAAAATTACCGTCTTCTTTGGGGCATATGTAATTGCCGCTGCCTCTGTTATGCTGAACACCTTTCTGTGTAATGACTAAGCTTTGCAATTCACACGGTGTATCTCCTGATACAAGCATTATAAGAACATTTTATTTTCTTTTTCTTCAGATGGGATGATGATGTTGTTTTCAAGAACTGTGCAAAAGGTGTGGATGACCAGAAGAAAGACAAAAGATTTGTTAACGATACGCTGCGATCTGAATTTCACAAAAAGTTCATGGAGAAATATATTAAATAGTACAGTTTTATGTGCTTTATTAAAGACTGTAAAATGTAAATGATCATTCTGACTTTACTTGGTTAGTTTGTTGTTGTTTTTTTCCTTTTCCCCCACATTTAAATTGTGAATAGGCTTTCCTAATTTTAAGTTCCAAAATATCTTTTCCTTGACTGATACCTTATTTGATAAGTAAGAACTTGGGAATTGTCTTAAACCAGTTTCAAGTCTCTGAATGTTTTCAGTCAGGTTTTCTTTTTAAGATTCAAAAGGTAATCTGCTTATAATGTTTTTAATAATTCAAATAACCAAATTCATGTCCCCCAACTTTTTTGTTGAAATGTATGCAGCTTATGAAACATTGCATATTTTCTTTTGTGTATTGTATTTCTTTGTACATTAAATTTCTCCTCATTTCTCTAACATGGATTTAAGGGCAGTTAATTCATGGTATCTAACTGTGTTTTTTTGAAAAGTATAATGAAAGATTAAAGGGATTCCATCGAGGCCCATATGATGCAATGGAAATGTGTCATCAGCCAGGAAGCACCCTGATTTGTGTGAGGGAGCACGGGGTATCTTCCTTTCCCAGAGGCCCCTGGCCCAAGGTGAGAGCTCCTGAAGCTGCTGAGGAAGCATGTGGCATAACCTTGTTCTCCTGGATACTCAGCTGCCATGTTTCTGTCAAATGGGATAGAGTCTGCACACCACCACACATTAGATGCAAAGCCTAGGGAAATTTTAACATCAAACGATACATGAAATAAAACTTTTGGAACCTGGCCAGTGTGGGTCAGTGGTTGAGTGTCGACCCATGAACCAGGAGGTCAGGGTTTAATTCCTATGTCCAGGTTGCAGGCTCTATGCTCAGTAGGGGCCGTGCAGGAGGCAGCCGATCAATGAATGATTCTTATCTCTCCCCTCCTCTCTCTCAAATCAATAAAAACATATTTTTAAAAAACAACCTTTGGCAATTGGATTTTGCTTATTTGTTATCTTGGGAGGATGTGTACGTGTAAAGTGGAAATGTCTACTCAGCTAGGAAATGAAGTTTTCCATAAACCCAGGCTGTGATTTTAAGGGTGTCATTTGGATAGAAAGTTTGGGACCAAACATTGAGCCTTCTACAGATACACATAAAGACCCATTCTAAGACCTTATCCACTAGCCGTGGTCGGCAAACTGCGGCTCTTTGGCCCCTTGAGTGTGGCTCTTCCTAAGTCTTAGGAGTACCCTAATTAAGTTAATAACAATGTACCTACCTATATAGTTTAAGTTTAAAAAATTTGGCTCTCAAAAGAAATTTCAGTCGTTGTACTGTTGATATTTGGCTCTGTTGACTAATGAGTTGGCCGATCACTGCACTACAGCATTTCCCCAGTGGGAGCCTGAACAGGGATGCGTGCACCCCTAGTCGGGAGTAGAGCTGGAGATGGAGGCCAGGTGGACTCATTCATGCCCTGCACTTTATTTCCCAACTGAGCTATTGACTCAAGATTATGAATACTTTGACTAGTTTTTTTTAATTATATGTTTATTGATTTTAGAGGAAGGGAGAGAGAAACATCAATGATGAATCATTGATCAGTTGCCTCCTGCAGGCCCCCTACTGGGGATCGAGTCTGCAACCCAGGCATGTGCCCTGACCAGGAATCAAACCCTGACCTGGTTCATTGGTTGATGCTCCACCATTGAGCATATTGGCTGGGCAACTAGTGTTTTTTTAAAGCTTTTAATAATATTAAAACATTTTAATCTCCAGCTTTACAATTTTAAAAAGTGCATTTCCATCCATTTGGATAGCTTGGGTGATAGGATCCAATTCTCTGTCCTAGGGTGGACTTTGTGGCCGTCAGGGTTTCTCCAGGAGACAACTATCTGCCTAGTGGTCCACTATGAACACAAGGTCAACGTCCATCAGATGACAGGCTTGCTCCCTTCAGACTTCCCTGCTTACCTTCCCCTCATTGTCACTAGTGAGAATTTTTTAAAATTTAAGTTTACTGTGGGAAGCCGCCTATTGTCTTCACTAGCAGAGAGGTGTGGACAAGGGACCCGGAAGGCTGGTGACCCTTGAAGCCCTGGCAAAGGTCAGAGCTATGCACCTACTGTTTAGTCCAGCCAGGGGTCCTCAAACTTTTTAAACAGGGGGCCAATTCACTGTCCCTCAGACC